ATGTTCTCCTTGAAACTTCTTCCAGTATCAGAAAGAAAGCATGTCTCTCACCTGACTTGGACTTAGGTTATATATTATTGACACTGAATTCTGCTTCTCTTGTCTTCCTAATACCTGGCCCAGGTGTTGTTCATGGTAGATGCTTGCTTAGTAATTGTTGAATTAATTAAAATTGGAATATTATTGCAAAAAAAAAGCATATTTCTCATTGTCTATCCCAGCTCCACTGCTCAAGTTACTGATCTCAGCCTTTCAACTCCTAGGGTAACTTCTAGGACCCCATTCCTCTTCTCTCTTGCATCTTAAGCCTTTTGCTCACTAGTAGCCAATTTTGTCTTCATATGTATGTAGATTTGCCCTGTCATCTCCTTCAAAAACTTTATCTTGGGTCTTCTGCTCCTGTCTTACTTCTTTCCTTCCTTTATCTGATCTGTGTCATATTCCTCATGACCTTATACCTGTTCCTATTCCTAATACGAATTTATTCAGTAATCCCTTGCAGGTTTTTTTTTTTTAATTTTCTGGAGGAGAGAGCAGCTGTGGGGTCCCTTGCAGTTTGATCTCTGACAGCCCAGTCAATGAGAAATGCTCAGTGCAAGGGTGGCAGGTGGCTTTCTTCTAATATTGTTCAGCAGCATTTCCTCACTTCATTTTCCATGGCCTTTGCTTAATTTAATACAATTTATGGGTTCATAAAACCCTTCCTCCTATAGTGTCTATGCAACAGTAGCATTCCACTTTCCATCCATGACAATGTGAATCCATTAATATTATAGTTAGACTTTCACTCTTTTTTACCTCCTCAAAAATCCATATCCCCAGGCCTTCTAATATCATCATTTCTCTTTCTCAAGTTAGTCAACCAACAGTCTTTCTGCTCAACCTCTAACTTTTTATTGAATCCAGAATCCATTTACTTGTCTTTAGATTCTTTGCCATAGCCATCCCATCTCCCTGTGGCATGCCTTCCCCTGTGCCAATCTAAATCCAATGTACCCATCCTTCAAGGTCAGCTCAAGTCCTGATTCTTCCATTAGGCCTTTGCCAAGCATTGCAGTACATTAAAGTCTTGGTCTAAAACCACACTAGATTTGCAGTCTGCTTGACAAAATGATACGTCCTAATCATCTACAGTTACCTCAAATATGTAGACTTTGTTTTACCAACTATCCCTCTGAAAAGCATGAACATAAGATTTTATTCCCTGAGAGTCTAGCAGTGTGCTAGACATAAGTTGCTGAATGAACTTGTTTAATTAATTAATGTTAACTAATTAATTTAGTATTAACCCTAATACTAAATGAGTACTATTGAAAAAAGTAATAATGGCAATATCACGACATTGATAACTCCAATTTGAGTGAGACCAGTATTTTTAATGGATTACTTAGAAGGCTCTAGGCAGTATGACAGTGGTTAAGAGTATAAGCCCAGATTGGTTGGGTTCAAATCCTGGCTCTCTCACCTATTGGCTAAGTAAACTTGGGAAGATTAATTAACATTGCTGTGCCTTCATTCCTTTCCTGAAAATACAGGAACATTAATGGTACCTACCACGTGGAGTCATTATAAAGATCCAATGAGTTATGTTGGACACTTCAAACAATTTTTGGCATTAGAAATTGCTCCATTAATGTCAAATATTATTATACATTTGTATGTTTATGGTACATAGAATGATAGCATCTCAGAGCTAGAAGAACCTTTGCTTTATAAATGAATGATTGAGGAATAAAGGTAAAGTGATTGGTACAAGGTCATATAGTCAATTGGAATCTAAGTTAGGAAACCAGCTGTCCTGACCTCCATTCAGTATTTGAATTTTTCCTCCCCAAGGATTCTACATCTGAACATGGAATTGAATGATAGAAGTTTAGAGTTGAAAGGGACATTGAAGGCTCTCTAGTTCAACTTTCCCTAAGGGATCATATTGCATGATTACTTGTCACAAACCTTTCATTTTTGCTCACAGCACCGTTTCACAGATGCTTACTCATCCAGTTACAGAGATCCTAACAGAACCTGCACCATGGCTCCCAAGTTAGGAAAAACATGAGGGACAGGAATAGATAGGTCAGGTCCCCTGAGTTTAGATGACTATCACTACATGAAGTCATTTTTACCCATCTTTTGAAAAATAATATTTCTTTTTCAGGGAAAACATTGTCTGGAATACTCATTAAAAACTGTGATTCAGGTTGTCCCACACATACGTGAATGTTTTGCAGATAGTGTGCTTCCTGGTAGAAATATGAAATGATTTTGACGAACTTTGAACAATACTCTTTAGCAGCCAGGAAAAGACAAGGAGCCAACTACCCATACCAGGCATAACTCCTGAAGGTTTCAACTTTCTGTGTGGTTCTCTGGAACAATATTCAGCCTGGTTGTGAACTCAGCTCCACTAGGGTTTTAAAATTCAATCTAGCAAATACAGACTCTCAAGAGGAGTTGCAGCAATAAAAGATTGCAATTAAATAGGCACAAATAAACCTGTGAGAAGGATTCTCTCATCAGATGCAATAACATGCTATTCTCTACCTTAATTCAATGCTAAGAGAAGAGATTTAATTTCCCTTTAAAGCAAATGAAGTTGCTATATGAAACAGCAGCAATAAGGAAGAAGGCTGAACTGAAGACTTATGCATCCACAAGGAATGTGCATCCACTCCCAATCCCCTCCACCCTACAAGCAAGACTCAGGGAATTCACATTCTCTGTATATAGTATTTGAAGCATCTGATCATGGTATATGGACTCAGAGTTTTATAGCTTGGAATTTTAATCCTGAAAAGAGGTGGGGGGGTCCCATTATTTGAATCTGAAAGTTGAATTACCTTCTGTTTACTGAAAACTGAACAGATAGCCTTCACTAAATCCCACAGAGAAGGCCATATTCTTGCTCTGCGATTCCACGGAATTTTATTTATAACTCTAACTTTACTCATGACAATCTGACTTGTTTCACCTGGTTGTAAGTCTCCTTCGTAGACTCAAACTCCTGAGGATAGAATTCACATTTTATGTATCTCTGTATTCTCCCAGAGCCTTACAGTGTCTTGAACACAGTAGCCTCAATAAACGTTTTCATATTTCATTTTAATAATAAATATATTAAACATTTTCCAACTATAGAGCATTATTAATGGATTCCCACCTTTGACATATTTCCCCCTCCTATTTCTGAGATCTCTTGCCTTTGAACCATGACAAAAGGTTTTAGCAGATTGGCAATGTAACTTAGATGGGTATGTAAACAGTAAGGGAGTGCCTAACAATTTTTTTTTGATGTTGAATTGTAACTTTATGAACATTTGCAGAGGTTTCTCTTGAGCTTTCAAGTGTTTAAGGGAACTCATCTGTCTCAGCTGGGCAGGGGAAAGAAAAAAACTCAGAGGAATGACTGGGAGGGTACTCCAGAAAGACTACTGTGCCTTTTAGAAAAAAGACACAGCACCTAAGTCCTTACTCCAGGACCCAGTAAGCATGTTAGGATCATAGCATTTCCAAGGCCTGCTTTTTAACAGTTTTTCTGAGAAATTGTCAATTTGATGTTCAAGAAACATTGAGTTCATTCCTATTAGACCCACAGACACAACTGGCTTTGTGATTTGCAGGGCCCATTTGAAAATAAAAATGCAGAGCCTCTTTTTCAAAATTCTCAAGAATTTCAAGATGATAACAGCAAGTGTGGGCCCTTTTAAGCACATGGCCCCAGGTGACCGCACGGGTCTCACTTCTATGAAGCTGGCCACGTCCTGTCTTCAAAGAGCTTCCTGTAATGAAAGGCAAAAGATCTGTGTCTAGGGATAGAAGCTACAATTCAAGTATGCACAAGGGACTGCATAAACCTAGAAGTTCCTAACTTTGTAAAATCATCCCAGGGAAAGTGACAGTTAAGCTCATTTTTGAGAGAGCAGTGGTAGGGAAGAAACATATTTCATACCAAAGGAAGGCAGAATTCACCTGTCAAATTCCAGGAATAGGGTTACTTTCAAGGAGGGTGGGGCAGTTAACATGAGGATGATATTAAGAGTGCAAAGAGGCAAAGGCCAAGTATTGGGTTGGCCTTAAAAGTCCATTCAGTTTTTTCTGTAAAATAAAGACATATTTTCTGTTTTCACCAATAACTTTATTGATTTGCATATTTTGAGGATGTTGGCTATGTCCCACTATTGGCTTCTAGTCTGTAGAGCCCAGGGATGCTGCTAAACATCTTCCAATGCATAAGGCAGCCCCGCAGCAAAGAATTTTTTGGTCAAAATGTCAACAGTACCAAGAAACTTCACAAACCACTTTTGGCATGTTCAGTCAGTCATAGCACCTTCTCCAAACACTGAACACATCTTTTCTTATGTTTCAGTTGTGTTTTTACATTTCTTGAAATAATAACTCATAATATGCTGAAATGTGTATCTTCTTCCATCTTCAATGTTAAAATGGCTGCACAAAAATTCACCAATTTTGGTTTTTTTTAAAATGCATGCTGATATGACAGCTGTTGCAATACAATCTAATGACATTGTTTAGAATGAAGTTAAAGACAACTAGGCACTTCTAGAGCCATTGTGTGGAAAAAATGTAAATGAACTTTTTGGCCAACCCCACATATGGGGAAGAAGTTGAACAATTATTAAATGCCTACTGTATGCCAAATTTGTTTCCCCTATGTCATAATTTTAAACACAATGATCTCGTGAATAAACTGTCTTACCTATTATACAAACAGTTTAGTTTAGGCCCAGGATAATAAGGTTCAAAGGGTTTGGAATACATTAAACATCCAATAAATGTTTAAGGACTGACTTGTGGGTGTGACTTAAGGCCCAGGACTCCTAACCCCTAGGTCAAACTTATTCTAAGCATGCTTTTAATTCACCATCGATCTTTCAGGTATCTCTCCAGAATCCTAAGGCACCCACCCTACCCTTCCCTCGCCCCGCCCCTCATTTCCACCTGCCGGAAATTAGGCGGCAAAAGTACTTCCGGGATAACAAATGTTAGCCCTGTCAAGATGGCGGCCCCCTTGGAGCTCAGTTGCTGGGGAGGGGGCTGGGGGCTCCCATCGGTTCACAGCGAGTCCTTGGTGGTAATGGTGAGGCCGCCTCTTGGGCCAGGGGCGGGAAAGAAGGGGAGGGGCCAGAGGCGCGAGGTTGGCTGGGCCGGGTACCGACGGCTTGTAAGAGGGTTCCATGCCCGGCGGAGGCCAGCCGTGGCGCTGCTTGCTGCACCGCACTGTGCTCTCCGCAGTTGATGAGTTACAACCTGGCCTGTGACCCCACCAAGGCGTAGCGGGAGACCCATCGCTTCTGCGCTTGGGTTCTAATTATTATTCTCAGCCTTGCAAAGGTATCTGGGCGGTGGAGTGAAAGTCCGAAGCAGGGGACGCGCGAGCGAGGGAGCGCGCCCTGCTCTGCATCCCCACCGCCCCACCCCTCCCCCCGATCATTTTGGTAATGAGGTTCCCGAAAGCCGGGTAGTGGCGCGCGTGCTCCCCCGGCTAGAAATCGGAGAAAGGACGCGCCCCCTTGTCAGGTATTTCTGTCTTCGGGGAACCGGTCTGTGAAGTAAAGCAGCTCTGCAGATTTGCATTACGTACTCAGTCTAAAATATTTTATTGCAAACTCTGTTTCAGGCTTACGCCAAGTTTTCTGGTGCACCCTTGAAAGTCAATGTCATAGATAACACCTGGAGAGGTTCAAGAGGTACAGTGTAAACACCCCTTCTGCCCTCTTTAAGGCCCCCCTTCCCCTTTTAAAGCTATGAGACATATCGCCTTGGGATTTTAGTTTCTTTTTACCATGACCTTGGCTGTGTGTAGTTTATGGTTGTATCACTCTGAATAATACTCAAAGTGCAAGCCAAATCAGTGGAAATTATGAGAAATGTAAATGTTCTTTGGCACTGCTCTTTGTGAAATTGCAGAAAACTAAGATAAACTTATTCATTTCTCCCCTCCAATGTGCAATTGGTAGAGTTTTTTTTTAAGAGTATTGGAATCTTTTAAGAGGAAATAGAAATGTTTGTATGTAAACTGTTTTTTGATTATAGGAGATATACCAATTTTGACAACTGAAGACAACATTGTTTCTCAACCGGCAAAAATACTAAACTTTTTAAGAAAACAGGTGGGTGATTCCTTTTGAAGAAGTAAATTGTTGATCACTGCATGTTGCTTAAAAAAAAAAAATTGTAGGGTTTGCAGATTTTTTCAAAAATTCTTTTTTGCCAAGCCAGTAGACAGTTGGAAGGTTTTCTCCCTTTTTTCTTGGGGAAAAATGCAACCAATTAGAACTTTTTCCTTATTGTTATCAATAATAATAATAATCTTTATTTAATAAATTTGTACTAAACTGGTCATTAACAATTAATGAAATAGTAATGAGTGAATAAAAAATAGTAACAATTATAGACTTTACTGTGTGCATGATGCTGTGCTAAGAACTTTATTTTCATTAACCAACATATGTCACTATATTTGTATTTTCTCCCTTTTGATATCATGTTTGCTATTGTTGAAGAATAAATAGGAATCATAATTTTGCTTCACTGTTCTGGGATGCTCTTGACTTCTGAGGGTTTTTTTTGTTTTTTATTTTTTTTAACTAGAAATATAATGCTGATTATGAACTCTCAGCAAAACAAGGGGCAGATACACTGGCTTACATTGCTCTCCTTGAAGAAAAGCTTCTTCCTGCAGTGGTGAGCATTAGTGAATATTACAATATTTTAATGATCTACTGAAAATGTACTTAGTCTATTTAAAAGAAAAATGATAAAAAAGGCTTAAGAGAGGAAATTTCATTTATGCATTAACCTTGATTCTTTCATTTTTCCATGAAACTGGATTCTGTTAGACATTCTACTAATGTGTGAAACGATAAAGTGAAATACAATGTCATTTGGATATCAGAAGTCTTTGTGGAAAAGTTTTTTGCTCCATGTATAGAATTGGGTGAACTGTAATCCATTCATTCAGCAAATATTTATTGAGCACCTACTGTGTAAGCTGGGTGCCTGGGATATAGTAATAAAAAAACTTCACATTTAAAATCTTGTTTAATCCTTAAGTCTTTCTAACTGGAAAATTTGTATGAATTCACTTTATACAAAGAGATGTATGAGAAACTTGCACATCAATTGAGTGATCTTTCTTTTAATAAAAGAACATCCTTGTAGTGTTTTTTTCTCTTCTTTTGTAGCTTCATACATTCTGGGTTGAGAGTGAGAATTACTTTTCTGTGACAAAGCCATGGTTTGCTTCCCGCATTCCTTTTCCCTTGAGTCTGATCCTTCCTGGAAGAATGTCTAAGGGAGCGCTGACTAGGATTCTCCTGACCAGAGGACAGCCTCCCCTCTACCACCTCCGAGAAGTGGAAGCACAGGTACGGCCATGGTTGCTGTCAGAGCCGGGGCCCTCCCGAGGAAGGGAAGGAGAGGGAGTGGAGGTGAACTTATCTCTAGTTACCTGCCTAAAAAGGACTTCCAGAGCAGCTTTCCTACCTCTGAGATGTAATGTCATCCTTATTAGATATACAGAGATGCCAAGGAGTGCCTAAATCTTCTGTCAAACAGATTGGGGACATCTCAGTTTTTCTTTGGAGATACGTGAGTGCATTCCCTTAAAAGTCATTTTGATGTTTTCTGTGTATATTTTCAGTGAGAGGTTATTTCAAGCAAGTCCCCTGGTCTTCTCCCTCCCCCAGTGAGCCTTTCACTTAAAAAATATTTAATGGATTTTTATTATGGGAAACTTTCTGTTGCTGATAATCTAACATTGACTTAATGGACTGCATATGTGAGGTGAGAACATCTAAGACTATTCCCACCCTGTCTCCAGTCCCTACGTAACACTTGTGAGTAAAAATGAATCTTTAATTTACAACTGCATTTTCTTCTAAATAAAGTAAATTATTAAGAGTATTAAAAAAACTACTGAGTAAAATCCTAGTTGCCGCATCTTATAAGCTAAAATGGGTAGTAAACCTTTAAAAAGACTATATTGTTTACTTAAGAATTGACTAATAATACATTTGGGGATTTTTTAAATAATGCCAAGTTAATATTTTCTTATGTGCTTTTTAAAAAAATGCTGGATTTATTTTTAGGCCTTCTACCTTGGATGCCTATGTGTTTGGTTTTCTTGCACCTCTTTATAAAGTACGCTTCCCCAAAGTTCAGTTACAAGAACATTTGAAACAGCTCTCCAACCTGTGTCGCTTTTGTGATGACATCCTCAACAGTTATTTTAGGCTCAGTCTTGGAGGTAAGCTGGCTCCTCTTAGCTAATCTTTGTACAGAGTAGTATTTACCTAGTTCCTAAGGATGTATAAGCAAGATTGACTACTTACTGAAGAAGTTTGTGTATTTTCTTTAAATGCTGGTTTATAGCACTTCAAAAAGTTGCATTTTTCCAACTTTATTTTTATTCCCATATTTTAGTTCTTATTTAAATAGAGAAATGAATATTTGCTTTTTTGTCTCTTCTTTTGGGTTTTATACATTTCTTGCTTCATGTGCTTCTTTAAATATTACCCCTCTGAAGTGGGTCATTTTCTTCAAAAAGATTAAACCACAGGTATTTATTGAGGTATTTATTAAGATAGCATTATTCGTAATGCAAATGGGCAATTACTTTAAATGTTGCTTCTAGCATTTTCCTGCGTGAACAGAAATCAGTAGCAGATTGATTTTGGTGAGGTACACCTCCATGATTCCACTACTTGAAAACTGATTGCATCAGACTGGAGGTATAGTAAACAGAGGGCACCTGTCATTTAGGATATGATTCATTGGGAATGTGAGGCCTTGTGGTTAAGTGATTGGGGTACTAAATTTGTATTGGGAGAGTTGGCAGAAGTTGTCCTTTTAAGAAATAAGAGTTATAAGGAAGCTGGCTGAGTGACAGTTTATTTTTTATGGGCGGTTATGAGTTTTGTATATAGGGAGGAGTTAGTATTAACAGTTTGAGAGTCATGAAATTAAGTAACGTCTAACCTTGTTACTTTGGAGCAGTGGTTGGCAAACCTTTCTGCAGGACAAATACAAAATCTTGGGTCATGTACCAGATTTACCAAATTAGAATTGCTTAGGGATGGATCCCAGGAATCTATTTTTAAAAGTCCCTCCAAATACTTTGTACCCCAGTTGGATACCTGTTTGGGAGTGGCTGCCTTAGAAAGCTATCCAAATGGTTGTCACTAAAGACCTATTTGGAATGGGTGGGGGAATGGCACAACTTAAACTTGAGAAGGAAATGAGGACTGTCGTGCTCTTACTAATTACTTTGGCGAGTTGCATCACACTTGGCCAACAGGGTCTACTTTGTGGACAAAGTTAGTCCTTTTGTTTATGGTTAGGTTTTGAAGCCTTACTTTCCCACCTAAGTTTGTCTTTGAACCCAGAATAGTTTTCCTCTTTGCCTTTTTTTGGGGGGGAGGGTGGTCCACGTAGGAGGGTGGATAACTCAAAATTCTTTTAATCTAAACAGCTTTAAAAGACTTTCAAAATTTCCTGTCTTTCTGATTTCTGTCCCTGGCTTCCTAGGCATCTCTCCCGCTGGACAAGAAACGGTAGATGCAAATCTGCAGAAACTCACACAACTTGTAAATAAGGAATCCAACTTGATTGAAAAGGTCAAGTTTACTTCAATCATTTTTTTAATAGTAATTTAGTATTTTCCTTTCTGTTATTAATATTGTAATTTGGGTTATGAATTAACTTTACCCTCTTAATTTTTCTTTTTTTAAAGAGTTAATTTTTTTTCAGAAAGCTTTTTAAATATGCATTTACTAAAGTTGTGTAGTATAATAGAGTATTTTGAAGCCCGAAGTAGCCCGATTGTTCTGGGGAAAGATCTGATAATGCCATTGGGTTTACTTTTACCACACAATTAGTATTTTTCAAGTTAGGAGACCCAAAAGCCTGGCTTAAAAAAAAAAAAAAGGAAGACAGAAACAATCCTTGCTTGCTTGTCTGCTTCTGTCTCTAAAGGTTAACATTTCTTGGGATTGGAATCATCTGCGCTTATCCTTTCTTGTTAGTTGTATTATGACATCTTGTTCTTTCTTCCACATGAACGGTTTTGTATTTTCTTATTCTTATCTTTCTCTTTTCTAAATGTTGTCCACAATTTTTTATCATTGTGTGTATTTCGCCATTTTGGGGGTGTTCATTTGGTGAGAGAGCTGTTGAGTAACCGGGTAGGGGAGAGCCAACAATGGAAATTCTAAGGGTGAGTCTGCTTGGAAAAATAGAGAGTTACTCATTTTTCCCCAAGTGTCTGGTAAACTTGCTTTTAATGCTTAATTCTTTCACAAACTAGTGGGGCCATGCAGCCTAATAGCACCGACTAGCAGTAGGAGGCACTGTGTTGTCTGACCTTTCTATGAGTTATCTCATTTAATCCTCACAACAGCTCTCTGAGCACAGGTTCTCTGTCATCCCCGTTTTACAGATGAGGACACTGAAGCTTTGAGAGTAGCTTATGTCACCTACACAAGGTCATTCAAGTGACAAGAGTTTGAGAGGTTATTTAAACCCTAGCAATTGCACTCCAGCGTGGGCTGCGCAGTTAATCAGCCATCTGACTCATGAATGAGATTATGTGTCTATTACCAGTAGTACTAGTAGCTAGGTCTGTAGCTGCCACTCTGGAATGACTGTTCTGTTCCTTTTTATTGTATTGCATGTGTTGTTAGAACTCGAGAAGTAAGTAAAACTGAGCAGTAAAATTTTAAGAGTCTATTATTAAAGTTTGGGTAAACTGGATAAAAGCCTGGTTTGTTTTAATTTTTTGTCCAACCCATTAAATCTCATGAGAGGAAATATATTGAGTGTTAAGTGTGGATAATGGAAAGAATACTCAGACTATTTTAGGCACAGACTGGTTTAGACACTTATCTGCTAGATGAAGGCCGGCCAATATAGTTTCCATTCTCTTCCCTTTCCTACAGCAGAGGAAATGCCTCTGCTGAAACATTTCCACTCTGCTTTATAGGAGAGCATCTTGAGAAGATAAGGGCAAGTTTTATTCTGCACATATTTAAAACTCTAAAAAACATGCATATCATGTGGGTAAAAAGATGTTATATTCCGTTGGTTTTGGGACTGTGATGGCAGCTGCTTTCAAGTCTTTTACGAAGTTAAACTGATAGTGAGCTCAGTACTGGGACCTGAGTATTTTGCTCTGTTTGCAGGATGCTCTGGTTAAAGGTAGTTTTCTAATATCTGACTCAGTTCTAAATAATGCGCCTGCTAGTGCTTTCAGGAATGCTAACGTACTCCTTAGTGCAAGTCCGAAACCCCGGCATCGTCTCAATCTGCTCCGTATTAATTTCTTTCTCTACTGGAGCTGACTTAGAACTGATCCAGTGTTTGGAATGCCTCTGAATTAGGGCTAAAGAATGTATCCTTGTTTTGGTCTCTTTGGTCTCTTCCTAGCTTCCCTTGATCTAAATACTCTTAGTCTGAAAGAGCTGGTCTTTTTGAGTGGAGTACAAGGAATTTCCATTGAGGCAATGAGGTATAGCTGAAAGAATAATAGTGCTGGGATAAGACCTGGGTTCAAATTTCAGCTCTAATTCAGCTTTGCAACTGAATGCAAATTCCTTAACCATTTGGAGCTTCATTTTGCTAATCTGTAAAATAGGGAGTGATTGTATCTGCATTTTTTTCCCCTTCACAATGATGTTGGGAAGATCAAATGAGGTATTGTATGTCAACAAACTTTGTAAACTGTGGAGCTTAGTATAAGCAGAAGTAGAAGGTCTCTTAAATTAAGTCATGCTGTAGTTGATTTCAGCAGACTATTCATTTTGTGGAATAACTGTAATTTTGTGAAGGTATCAAGGATGAGCCATATTGCTTTTATGCATATACTGAGTCAGCTGGTATTTGAGGTATGACATTTAGAATTCTTGAGAGATTATCTGCAAGAAGAAGGTTTCTCTGGCAGTCCTAGAGACATATGGTTCTGTACTGCTCTAGGCTACCGTTTGGATGGGGAGGCCGTAGTCCACATAAGCAGTGCCGCAGCACTTAGTCAGTGTACCTTTTGTACTTTCCACAGATGGATGACAATCTTCGCCAAAGCCCTCAGCTTCCTCCCCGGAAATTGCCAACACTCAAATTGACTCCAGCAGAAGAAGAAAGCGATTCCTTACAACGGCTATCACCCTGACAGACATCATGCCTTGTGTCCAAAGTCATATGATTGTTGCAGTAATCTCTTATACTAAGTGTGTGAAGACAAAAAGAAAATGCCATTAATAAGTATAGGAAGACTCTAAAGCAAGAGAGACTTTCTATGACATCTATTTTTTTAAATTAGGAAGCTTGTATTTTAGCTTGGCAATGCACTTTAAATACCATCAAAGTAAATACTAAATGAACTTGGGGAGAAAAAGAAAACATTGTACTGTACATATTAAAAAACAAACAAACCTGCCTTAATTGTGGCAGATTTTTGCCTTTGGTTCACATGTTGCTGACCAAAAGCTACAATTCTGTTCTGAATGTGCACTCTTAATTTATTCACGCTAATTTATTAATTTAGTTTTCTTAGACCAGTATGAATATCTAATACGTGGTTCTTTGGCTGAGGCCATTTCCTTCTGTTTAGAAATTTGATGCCCATTTTAGACATTAGGAAAAATATATTATCCTAATATTCTATTTACTTCCATAGGAAAGCCTGTATTTAACTGTAAGAAGCAATGAGGAATGTGCTTTTAAATTATGCTCTCATAAGACTAATCTTTTGGGGGTTTAGTACCATATATAAATATTAAATGTGGTTATACATAATATTTATCTGACTATATGCACTTCAATATTACATTAGTATTTGCTGATGTGTTCAATCTAGGTTAGTAAGGGCTCTTTTAGTTTATTGGGTGAATGTGCCAGCTTTAGACCTATATATTTGTAGTATATCTTTATCTCTCATCATCTCTTTCTTGGATTGATTTCAGGAGAACTGAATGTGTTGGCATCGTTACTATGCCAGGCTGTAAAGTCTTATTGAAACATGCCCCATTCCTAGACACTACTCAAAAGGAACCCCCACCAGCAAATAGAAGTACCTACTGTGTGCTGGTCCAAGATCATCATGCTTGGCTTATACCGGTGTTCTTTCATAAGAAGCATATCATGGAGTCAAAAGTTTTATGACAACTATTTTTATGTAGTTTAACTACAGATGAAGGATCCAATGGAATAATCGGGAAAAGCAGTACATTTTTAAGCATATTTTCTACTTATTGGTTGCTGAACTGTTAAAGGATTTGCTGTGCAAGTAATTTTACTTACAATAAAATCTTACTTTAGTGGCTGAGGTGCTTCTGTTGTCCTAAAGCCACTTCTGGGATTTTTAAAATATAGGACCATATTTTTGATTAGTGTCTTAAAAGATTACTATGGTGCTCAGCAAATCGTATCACATTCTGCAGAAACCCACATGTTCAGAAAACAGCTTTGTAGTTCAGACTCGTCTAATTTGAGCTGAGTGGAGCTCAGCCATGTTTGACCTGCATTCTCTCAATTTGTTTGGTATTTAGGTAGTCACTTACATGAGTCTTCAAGTCCTTGTAAATATTTCTTCTTGAAAGTAAGAAATAACGGTGGTCTTCAAAATCTTGTTTATGTGTTTGGATGCATTTAGGGAAAGTAACTATAATTTCTGCAACAGGTGTGAGAGAGTATGTGTGTGTGTATTTTATGCGTTAATGTTTTATTAGTTTCCAACAATCTGAAAATCCGTATGAATACTCTGCATTGAAAATCATGACCAGAGAATTCTATTGTCCTCTAGGATTGATAATGTAAATTGGATGTGGTTGGTTAGCACATTAATCAGACATCTGTTTATGCTTCAGCCAGGGTTAGTCATTTTCAGTTATGATTTATATTAAAACTTCCAAAAAACTTTTGAAGTGATTTACAGTTGTCAAACACATGTAAAACAGGACAATTAAAGTTAGTTGTGGAGTGGGAGAAAGAACTATACCCTTATAGCTTATAAAAATGAATGGTAAATTTAATTCCAAGTTTCTCCATGGGCAAAGTCAAAAGATAATACTGGATTATGTAAATTTTTGTGTCAATAAAACTAGTAATGTCCACGAATAAGAAAAGTGTGTTTTAGTTTTTATAAGAATGTGGGAGATCGTGTTCTTACAACGCACAGACTTCAACCGATAAGCATGCTGTAATGTTTCATGTGTTGACAGTTTAATCAAAAGACGTAATTTTAGAATAACAACTAATTGTCTTTTTTTTTAGTAAAGTAAGATGACTGTAAATACGATTTATTTCCTTTTGGTCATTCCTGCTCTGAACTGCCATTAGCCTCCTAACACATAAGCCATGATGCTTCCAGAGTACTTTTCCTAAGATGCAAAATGTGGTTTAGATATGTGAAAATTTGTACGTTGATTTACTTAGCTGGGCTTTCTTGGTGTAAGTTATAACTGAGCACAGACCACGGCAGAGATGCTCTCTTGGAAAGGAAAAACTTTGCGAACTGGACAGAGCTTGTGATCAGCCTGTCAGGGTTTTGTATAAAACCCTGCTTTGTATAAAGTTTGAGTTTGTTGAAATAAATGGTCCACAGTATTCAACAAAATACTATGGCCTACCTTCTTTTGGAGGCGATGGTGGAGGATAATGTAAAAGGGACTATGTGACGTAGGTTTAGAAAATGGGTCAAATGGTGTCTGTGTGATAAAGATCCCACAGTTGTCATCAGTCATCCGTGATACTGGTCATTCTTACAACACTAACGAAACCGTAAAGAATCGTGAGGATGGTCATTCCTTCACAGTGCTCCTCCCCCCACACACAAAAAGGTAGGCGCTGACAAGTAAAACAAGTTTCAGTTTAGGTATGTTTGTATTATTTGGGGGGTACTAGAGGATTGGAGATTTTACATTATATCCAAAGCATTTTGATTTCCATTTGTAATTTCTATTCAGTTAATTTTGCTAGATACGAGAGGGATCCCCCCCCAAATCCCTGGAATTTACTTATAAAATACTGTGTATTCTTACATGTTTAAACTTCAGTAACCTTCAAAGTACTCTACGTTTGATGCAATGCACCTATTGAGACATTTTTTCCACTGCTCAAAAGAGTTTTGAACTTGTCTATTCTGATGCCTGGTAGTGCTTTTGCTGTTTTTTGTTCCACCTCTTCCACATCGGCAAAATGTTCCCCTTTCAGGACTTTTTTCATCCAGGGAAGCAAAAAAAAAAGATTGCTTGGGGTGAGATCAGGTGAACAGGGAGGGTGGGGCAGGGGGGTCATGCCAATTTTGGTCAAAAACTGCTGAACACTCAGTGTGGTGTGGGCAGGTGCGCTCATAAATCACCCATCCTGAAATGGGCAGACGTGCTGAAAGAGTCTTCGAAAAAAATTCACTGGAGCTGAACACAGCCTCTCACAACGCCAGCTGGTGCACTGCTGCAGACGGGGTCCTAGAACACTCGCCTAGTGGAGGAAGCCTGTACTAGGAGGGGCCCACCCCCTCCAGAAGATGGTTCCGAGATTTTTGAGGGTCCCCCTCATATATAAAGATGAAGGAATGGAGAAGCTTATTTCAAGTATAGCTATGTTAAAATTTTCAGAATTCTGCAAAAATGGGGAAAAAAACATGAAAAGAGTCAAAAATTGGTAAGGGTGATAGTATCTCATAAAACCCAACTTTTAAAAGGTAGTTTCATGTATTAAAAGTTTGAAGTCACTAGCACGTTTTCTTAGAGCCTCTTCCAAGAATATACATTTTCTAGGTCTATTGATTTTTTGACATTTTTTCATAAATTGTCAAAAATGTTAACCCTTTAAAACCAAAATATAAATGCTTAAATACAAAGACAAAAAACTAAGCGATGGATATACAGGGTTTCGCTATACAGTTTTTGCAACTTGTCAATCTATTTCAGAATAAAAGGGTTTTAAAAAGTAAATTCAGTAGGGTGTATTTATCATTACCTACATACACTTTGATTTAAAATTTAATGCTCCAAAGATAGTGCCCAGTATTCAATCCTAGATAAATGACACCTAATACAAATGAAATATAATTTATTTTACATTTGAGTTTAAAGAAACAAGCAACTCAGGTTTGTAACAACTGATCACTAGATCTATTTTGCCTTACCAGGAGAAACAAAACAAAACAAAACAAATAACCAAAACCACAAACTTTTTTTCCCTAGGATATAAAAAAATTCTACGATTTTATGTTTTTAATTTTATCTTTTTCTTCCTAGGGTACCTGGGTTTAGTCTTGAGGTTAAAATATTTTGAAAAAGTTTGTGTCTCCAAGGTTAGCCCATGGCTTTGCACGCGTTACTTCTCTTTAACTGCACAGCCTGACAAGGAAAACCTGGAAGCCACACGTTAATGAAGGTGCAGCATGTCTGCGTGCTTTTTGTTTTAAGCTCACAGCGATTTAGTCTTTGTTTGACTTTATCTCGGTTTGGTTATTTACATAATTGAACTCCTGTTCAGGGTCACAGATTACAATTGGGGTGTGATGATGGGCATTTGTATATGTCGTTGGTGTTAAGAATTTTATCTTTTGCCTTTTTTCTTGTTTAGGTCTGTGAAATTTATATTCACTTTTCAATGCTTTCATACGTCCTAAACAGATTGTTAAAATTTGTTGTTTGTTATCTGAATCAAAGGTCAGTAATCCTTTCATCCTCAAAGGTTTAATTGAAGTTTCATTAGATCTTCAAAAAAACTGATTATCCCTGAGCTGTTAAGATGGAGTTGTTTTTTTGTTTGTTTGTTTTTTAAGGGTTTGCAAAATAATTTAGCCCAAAGCTCTGTTGAAATGTCATGTTTCCTAGGAGCCCAGGTTACCCACCCTGGACTTAAAACTGCTGTAACTGAGGTGGAGAGGCAGTCTCAGAATCAAAAACATACAGCAATTATTTGTTCCAGGTGAAGAGGCCAATGAAGAGAAGTAACATTCTTGAATAATGACTATAAGAACGGGTGACTTTGACTTGGACGTTTTTAAATAGAGGAATGAGGAATTTTCTTTTTTTCACGATAGGAGAGTATTCAGAGTAAAACAAAGTAGTTTTTATAAAAAAATATAGGAAAATGTCTTTTTATATCCTCATTAATTTGAAATTATACTGTAAGATTTTTAAAAAATCTTTTAGTTCATTAGAGAAGTAGTTCCTAAAGGTGTATTTTGGCAGAATATATTGTTATATGAATAGACAAATAAATTTGAGAAGTGTTGGGTTAGACAAAATTAAGTTACTGCAGGCTTTTCAGGACCTCTAATATGCTAATTTGTGGTTTCCATCTCCAGGAAGGACCTGTGTTTTATACACCATTTCCCTAATTTATTTTGATGTGGATTTTTTTTAGTAGGTATCTTCTACTTACTAGAGATTTGTGTTCTGAGAAATACAGTGAGAGAAATGCTGCCCTAGAATGTTTTTACTTGTTTGTGCTCATTGCAAAGGCTTCTGATTGGGTGCCTCTCTAACGAGTGGCAATAAATGGGAAGAAACAGGGCAGGACTCTCTTGGACCATGGAGGTGAGGGAAGGGCAGCCGCGGTATGCCAGGGTGGTGAGGTGGGCACACGGGAGGCCCCTGGTCAGCCCAGCCCCTTGCCCTGGAGTCCCAGTCAGCGTGTGAACTGGTGGTTTCCGAGAACTACCGTAACCAGTTCATAGGCATCTAGGAGACAGAGGGAACAAACCTGGAATTCCAGAACAAACTCCTGAACCACTTTCGTCTGTGATTTAAAAGTGCCAAAAAGGAGATGAGTATTTATAGTACTAAAGTCAAATATAAGCTGATTATTTTCTACACGCACGCACGTCGTGTCCTAGAAAGTATACAGTTGTTTCAGGAACAAAACAAAGGAAGGTTAATGTTTTCAAGTTCTAGTCTATGCCTGAAGACATGGTCTAAACAAAGACTGACCACTTTTTGTGTGCATTTTCTAGCACGAGGGTTTACAATTTTCATTAAATTCTCAGCAGTTTCTATATCCCCCCAATTTTAAAATTCACTAGTTTACAAATTTCAGAGGACTTGGTATGTTGCATTTCATTTTCAAGTATAAAATCAGATTACTAATCAGGCACAATGGTGCTTTTTTTTGTCTTCTGCAACGTATATGGTTGCAGATTTGGAACACTATACTTTGGATGTGCATTTGATAGAAAATTTGCCTTTGGGTCTGAGTTGTGTAATGGTGAACATCTAGTCACGTGAAAAGCAGTTGGACGTTTGTTCTGATTCTTCTTCATGCAAATTCAGAGAAATGCCTTTTAATCATTGAGTTTATATATCCCAGATCCTTGGAAGTCAAGAAAAATGATTTGCCAGAGTTTGCATCAGTCCTTTGCGAGTTATGTACTATAAAGAAGGCTATGCCGGCCATTCGTTCTTGGACTGTTGGCTCCTTCTCCTGCAAGCTGGCATCTTTATTTCTTGGCAAAGGAAGGGTGCACTGAAGCTTTTATGTTAATTGCATAAAGATGAGCTTTATTTTTCTTTTGACTTTATGTCTTATTATGTAAAATAGGAAATAATGTCTTTCCATTTTTCTGTTTATCTTGAAGTGGAAATTTGAGGTTTTTGGAATGTAACTTTAGCTTTCTGGGAGATGGACAGCAAAGAAGATAAATAAGAAATATATGTTTATGTGTATGGTGGCTTTGTTCCACCAAGCCTATCTTTGAAAGGTAAACATTTTAAACATCTGTTCCAGTATACAAATACTATAGATTTGTTATAAACAATCTTAAAAGAAGCAATTTTGGTTGTAATTTCAACATTCTAGCATTGTCTAGTATGGATATATTTTACTGAGAGACTATGTATAAATGCCCACAAGTGGAGATGATGATCAATGTTATAAAAAATTTATTTTGAGAAATGAAAAACTGGATATAATGTCAAAAGAGCTATTTACACAATAAAATCTCAAATTGCCTGAGTGTTTATTAAATCCTGATTTGATGTTATTTGTTCCTTGAGGTGAATTTTTGGCTGGTTGAAAATGGTAATTCAATGTCAGGACTGAGCTAGATAGGGTGTTTTCTTTTGAAAATGTTCATTCTTTCTGTGATGTGTTG